TTGAAATTAGGCGAAATTTATTCCCTACATGAACATATTGCTCAATCATCTCCTTCTGTTGGTAGTGTTCCACCAGTTGATAGAAAATTTTCTGATCCCGATTTTTTACCTACACCCGAAAGTATTGCACGAGGTGATGAAGGAACAGCTTTTCTCGGTGTCAAATATCAAGGACGTGTAGCAAGATGGTAAAATTTTTTAGTTTATTTTATTTTAACTTTTATTCCTTCTATTTATATAATTTTTTGTCTTAAGGCTACGACCTGAACGTATTCGATGGTCTAGTGAAGATAAACAATATTCATTAGCTGTATTCAATCAACCACATCCAAAAGATATTATTCAAGGTCGTCTTGGTAATTGTTGGCTTATTGCTGCATTATCATTAATTGCTGAAGTACCACAAATTCTGTATAAAGTTATGATTACAAAACAATACAATTCTGCTGGTAACTAAATAAATAAAATAAGATTTCATATAATTGATTATTTTTTTTTTGTTTGTAGGACTTTATCGAGTTCGTTTATGTAATCAAGGTATTTGGCAAGTAGTTACTATTGATGATATGTTACCTGTGTCAACATCAAATTCCCTTGTCTTCTCTCGAAGTAAAAAAAAACAATTATTTGCACCATTAATCGAGAAGGCATTAGCAAAAATGCATGGTAGTTATATGGCTCTCAAGTCTGGTATGTGAAATTTGTTTTCTATAATGATTATTGATGAATATTTTATTGTATAGGAAGATGTGATGAAGGTTTACAAACATTAACAGGTGAACCATGTGAGGTATAAAAAATAACAAAATTGTTAATTGTTAAAAAATATTTCACGATGTCAATTTTTTTAGGTACTCTTTTTACGTTCATCTGATCCTGAAAAAAAACCAGATCTTAATCAAATATGGGCTAGTATTCTTGAATCTAGAGCTAAAGGTAATAGGAATATCTATAGAAATATATTTTTTCTGAAATATTCTTTATGTAGGTTATCTTATGACATGTCCATGTTCAAATAAACGCTTTAGCGAACAAATCTTCAGTCGAATGGGTACGAAAGAATAAATAAATATGCTAGATAAAAAAAATGAAGATTTTTCTTTATTATAGGCTTGGAGTCAGATCATGCCTATAGTATTCTCGATGCACGTCAAGTTAATTCTCAAAGACTTGTACGTTTACGTAATCCTTGGGGTGAAAAAGAATGGAAAGGTGCTCTAACTGAAAATTGGACAAAATGGCCAAAGACTATTAAACATAAATTTATACCATCATCTGCTAATGATGGTGTCTTTTGGATGCGTATGTATTCAATCTATAAAAAGAAAATTTTAAATATAGGTTTTTTTTTTCTATAAATATAGCTTGGGAACAAATGCCTTCATTCTTTAGTAGTGTTACAATTTGTAAAGTTAATGCAAATTGGCATGAAGTTAGTTTTACTATGTTTAGTTTATTTTTTTGTTTACTAATTTTTTATTTATTATATACAGGCCCGTAAACGAGGACAATTTAGTGATTTTTCTTCTACAATAACATCTGCCTATGGTCTTGATTGTCCATATGGAGCAGAACTTGAAATTGAAGTGTTTAATGCTGGTGATGGAAATTATTATAATCGTTTAAAAGATCCTGATGTTGATCTCTTCCTAATTTTACTTAGTGCAAATGGTTATTGTCGAGCATATAAACATGATGTTGATTATTATATAACATTATCAACAACAGTACCACCAGGACGATATATTATATTAGCGGGTTCAATGTCTGTTGTTAATTATTTGGTTTATCCAGCATTTAATTTAGTTGTACATGGAAGTCAACCATTTGTTGTACATGATCAACCATCATCATATGAATTAGCTGCTGATGCTTTTCATGCAGTTGCCTTTCGAGCTAATAATCGACAGGATATGGGTGGTGGCGTTTCGATTTTAACATTTGATGATAATGGGTAGAATAAATATATATTTTGATTTATTTTAATTAAAATTTTTGTTTTTAGAAATTTTGGTCTTGTGTGTGAAAATAAATCTAATCGAACAGTTCGTCTTAGTAGTAATTTTCAAGGCTCAAAAAATGTTCTCTCATCCCGACATGCGTTTCAAATGATTGATACAATACCTGCTAAAACTCAACAACTTATTGCTATATTTACACGAAAAATGTTTTCTAATGACGTACAAATCGGTAAATAGAAAGATTTTTCTATTCAATTTTTATTTCATTATTTTCTTTTTCTTATATTTTAGCGTATCAGGTAGGTTTCATTTCGCGTTTTTATATAAAAATTTCTATTTTTCAAAAAGGCTTCTGGTGAATTACTTGATCCTGATCATTATATTCGTGCAAGAAACAATCCAGCTATCCCTCCTCAGGCTCTTGGTAAGGTTTATTTTATTTTTTAGTAACGAAATATTTTCATTTTTAGGTCTTCATATATTGAGACCTGTTTATTGAAAATCTCAATATTTTTCTTGTTTGTGTTTTCTTCATTCGGTCTCAACCGGTCATTGTGATTATTATTTTCTAACAAAATTATGTCAATAGTTAATTTATTTACGAATAAAAATATTTTTTAAGTGATATGATATGTTCTGAAAACGAACTTTCAGTTCATTTTTTTTAAAATAAAGATATTTTTTTCCCTTATATGTGTAATAAACAGTCTTGAATAAAAAAAAAACAAAAAACGTATATATATATTTATTCTTTCTCTTAAATATTTTATAAGCAATAACCTTGTCTTGACAATACACCAGACATATTTAATGTACATCATTAATCGATTGTCGATATTTCTAGGCTATCTAATGAGTAAAAATCGTTCAACTAAATCCGAATGATTCATATATATGAAAGTAAACAAGTTATAGAAAGTCAAAGATTAAACCTTGTATATTGTGACTATTAATAATTGCTAGACGATACATCATGATACACTTTAACATTTCATGATTGCAAGAAAAACAAGACGTATAGGTGGGCGAATCAGTTTTTGACTCATTAGTTATTTTTAAAAGTTTATATTTTATGGAACTAAATATTCATCAAAGATGTGTATCGATATTTCTAATGACGAAAAAATACTCCATTTTCCGTTGTAAATATATATAAAATAAAAGTTAACAAATTATATTCTCTATTTATTTCATTTAACAAATGAAACAATTATTTTCTTTTTAAAACAGCAATAATAGCATCACGTGGCACTTGAATATTAGCAATTGATCTCATTCTTTCTTTGCCTTCTTCTTGTCGTTTTAATAATTTCAATAAACGTGTTTTATCACCACCATATAATTTTGCTCCAACATCTTTTTTATAAGCAGGTATACTTTGTCTTCCAAGTACAGATGAATGTACTTTTGCTTCAAGTTTAATTGCATATTGTTGTCGATCAATATTTTCTTTAAGTTTAAGAACGATTTCTTTACCTACTGTTGGAGCACGTTTAGCATGACAAAGAACAGATAATTCATCAATTTCTTCATTATTAATACAAATACGCATTTTAACTATATTCGATTTTTCATAACCAATATCTTCATAATCAAATGTACCATAACCAGATGTTATTTGTTTAAGTTGATCAAAAAAATCATAAACTATTTCAGCTAAAGGTAATTTATATTTTAATAATGTTCGTTTATCATCTATACAATATTCTTCTATTAATGTTCCTCGTCGTTCATCACAAACAAGTTTAATTATAGGTGCAAATTGTGTTGGTGTAAGAATTTGACCATTGACTATTGGTTCAAGTGTTTCACGTATTATATTTGTATCTGGCCATTTAAGTGGATCAGATATAGTTAGTAGTTCAGCACCATAATCTTTAATATTATCTTTTCCAACAATACGACATTGATAAGCAACACCTGGAAATGTAGTTATAACTTGTTGTTGAAATTCTGATTGTAATCGTTGATTAAATATTTCCATATGAAGTAAACCCTAGAAAATTAGAATATATATATACATCTTAAAAAATGAATATCATTTCTTACTAAAAATCCAATTCGCATTCCTTTACCAAATGCTAAAAAGAGAAAAAAAGTTTTAATTAAAAGATTCAAATCAAATTCTACCTGGATTTGATGTAGGAACAATTCTAACACCAGTATCATTCAATGCTAAACGTTCAATAGATTGTTCAAAAATATTATATTGTACTTCATCGAATGGAAAAAAACCAGCAAACTAAAATCAAATAATAAACTTGAGTTTAATTCTTTTTTTTCTTATATAACTTACCACCATTGGTTTTGGCACTTTAAATGTCTGTAGTGGTTCAACATCATCACCTAAAAAAAGAAAATATTAAATTCTTTTTTCATTCTTCCAATGATAAAACACTCACCTACCTTGATGATAAAATGTATCTCCAACAACTGTATCTTGAATATGTTTTGTATCACAAATAATATATCCAACTTGACCAGCATATAATGCATCAGTTTTTACTCGATCCGGATATGTAAATATTCCTTAAATATAAAATGTTTTATTAAAATAAATTATTTTTTCTATGAATACCTGTTTCAAGTACTGTATAATTCTTTGCCGATAATTTACTTGTAATTTTATCTCCTATTCGAACAATTCCATCCGTAACAGCAACATTAATAATTGTTGAATTAATCTGTGATGAATATACTGAATCAAAAACAAATAAACGAAGTAAACCAGTTCGAGAATATTTTGGTGGTGGAAGTTGTTCAACAATTTGTTCTAAGATTTTTCCACAATTCGTTCCATTTTTAGCAGATATTTGAATGATATTTTTTGATGATAAACCAAATTCAGATTCAATTTGTGCTATTGTTCGTTCAACTTTCGCTTCTTTTAAATCAATTTTATTAATACAAGCAATAACTTCCATAAATGAATCACAAGCAAGTAAAAAATTTGCAACTGTTTGTGCTTGTATACCTTGTGCAGCATCAACAAGAAGTATAGCTGATTGACATGCTGATAATGATCGTGCAACTTCAGTTGAAAAATCTACATGACCTGGTGTATCAATTAGATTAAGTAAATATATTTGATTTTTATATGGATAAAACATTGAAACAGCTGCAGCTTTAACAGTTATACCACGTTCTCTTTCAACATCAAGTTTATCAAGCACTTGACGATTTTCTTTTGATTTGGGTATTGTACCTGTTATTTCTAATAACCGATCAGCTAATGTTGATTTTCCTATAAAAAAAACACCATACATTATACAATGAATTTTTAAATAAATTTAATACCATGATCAACATGAGCGATAATACAGAAATTTCTAATTAGTGGTGTTTCATATGTATCCATTTTAATTGAACGAAGTGCACGTTCAACAACTAGAGGTGGTGGATTTTGAGCATGTTGAAAACGACATGGTATATAGATTCGTTGTAAAGAACGTAATGTTCTTTGAAAAAAACATGAAACAGAATGATATGTTTGCATTTATCAAAACATCTATAAATGTAAATAAATGTTTTGTTTTTGTTCAAATAGTAATCTAACTATTACTTTATTGTTTGAATTTATATATAGAGAGAGAAATCTTATGTATGGAAAAACTAAACAATGATGTTCTTTTTTATTTTTAAAATTTATCATGACAAGAACATATTCCATTATGAAAATGATGAATACGTATATCATCTTTTAGAATAATATCACATTGTTTTATTAAAGTTAATTGTTTTATTCCTTCATGACATGTAGAACATAATGGGTTTGTTTTTGTTAATTGTATCATTGTTGATGATGGATTTAATACGAAATTTTGTACAATAGCTAATCGAACTGATATATGTCCACAAAATAATTGTTTAAGATCGTTTTTGATTAACTGCCAATTTATATTCACTGATTTTAATTCATCAATTATAATATTTAATTCCGAATTCAATAACGGAAAATTTGAAAGATCATTATCATGAAATTCATATACCGTATAATTCATTGTATTATTATTTTTTATTTCTGTCCTACATTTTCCAGGTAATTGTTGTTGAAAATAATTAAGAATTTCATTTGATGGTAATGAATTCGTCATATCCGAAAAAAGTAATAACAAAAAAGGATCATCTTTTATTTGATCATAAATCGATTTTGCATACTGAACATTCCCGGAATGATAACAAACTATAAACAAAGCCGACCAAAGCGAAGAAACATCTGTAGATTTTGATTTATATTGATGAATAAATGATTGAACTTCATCAAATAGTGAAGCACGGGCAAGAATTGAAACCTATAACAAAAAAAAAGGTAATTAGATGCATAGTCTTCTTTATTTATTCTTTTTACCATTATAGCAGCAATGTCTGGTGTCTTATATTTTTCAGGTATTATTTTATATATTTTCCTTGCTTCATCCACAAGACCATCAGTAAATTTACAAGCATATAGAATCATTTTATAGATCTGTTCATTTAACTTCAATTCTAATTTAATATCTTCAAATAATTTCAATGCGCGCTGTCCTTGTCCCTTAATTGCAAGACTATGTATTAGATTTGCTAAGGTATGATTATCTTTTTGTTTAAGTAAATTAAATAATCGATAAGCTTCATTTAATTGTAAACAATGTGAATGCATATTAATTAAAGCAGTTTGTACTGAAAGATTTTTCTCAATTATAAATGATGGAATCGCTCGATGAATATTTTCTGCTTGATGAGGAAGACCTAGTTGTTGGCACGCATTAATAACATGTAGATAAAGAACTGCATCAGGTGAAATCGATGATGATGATGATTGAAGTTGATGAAATAGAGAAAGAACTTGTACAGGTTGATTTATTGATAAATATGCTTTCATTAAAATTGAATAAGTTATATGATCAGCTATTGGAAGTAATTGATCAAATAATTTCCGTGCACGATCAATTGAACCACAATTACAATACATATCTATAATCTTTAATATAAAATGAAACTAAGAAATTATTTTTAAACAGAAAAAAAACTTACAGCTGTGGCTAATCGAATATTTGGTGGATCGAGAAGTTTAAGTCTTACAACTTCATTATATATATTATGTCCAATATCTAATCGATGGGAACTACTGCATGCACTCAGGACACATGTTGCTGATATAGCATCAAGTTCAACTGTTTTTTTATTTAATATTTCATTTTCAAATAAACGAATTGTTTTTTCGGGTTGTCCATTCATATTATAACCTATAAGAAATAAGAAATATGAATATTTTGAATATTTTTAACTCACCTTGTTCTCACCTTTGAACATTGTACCATAAAGATTGATATCAAATGATCGATTTTTTATTTGTTGAAATATTTGTTCAGCTAATTCAATATGTTTTATTTTAGCATACATATAAATAAGTTTTATTTGAAGTTGATAATATTCCTTCGATTGTAATGTTTGATCTTTGTCAATAAATTCATGAATTTTTTGACATATTTTTAAATTATTAATTTCTCCACATGCACGAATTATTTGTGTATAACAAATAAAATCAGGTTTTAGATTGATTATATTTGACATCCATTCAAATAAAGCAACTGTACGTATAGGTACATAAGAATTATTATAGTTGTTCATGAGTTTATTGATTTCATATAGTTCTTCGTGAGTTGTTGATGCATGAACATTTACGATTGACGATGATAGAAAACGAAATGAAGATCGAATAATTGATAAACGACGAAAATATTGCATGATATCGAATAAATTCTATGTTAAAATGAGATGATGATTCATGACATGATTTTTATTGGTTATTTAATTGACATCTATTTTAACATAAAGACTCGATTTTTTAATTATAGATTTTTTTATCAAATAATTTACTAGCAAAATATTTTTTAAATTTAATAGAGAAATCTTTTTTTCAGTATATTTATAAGTAAATATATACATGATAATAAGTCTATTAGATCCTTTTGTTCTAACGCGCCAATGATTCTTGTTTGCCCCGTTTAATATCATTCATTCGTTGTGTCACCAGTGGATATATTTAAGATCTGAAAATAATTCAATATGAACGTTTGTACACCAAATATATCATGGCATGGATGCGATCCAGTTTATTCATGTACAATCAATCCTGTCGATTCAAAACGTTTAGCTACCGCTGGAATGCGAGGTAACATAATAATATCGAAAATTCGTAAAATTTCTCTTTATATTTATTTCTAGGTTCAATTTATCTTTGGGATATTGAATGTCCAGCAGCTCAACAACCTACAATAACATTTATATCTTCATTAACAGGTGCACATTTAGAATCAGTAAATTGTATTCGATGGAATTCTAAAGGAACACATTTAGCAAGTGGTAGTGATGATGGTAATATATTTATTTGGACAAAAGCACCAACAATGACAATTGATTCAAATGTAATTCTATTAACAAAAACAAATCAATCAACAACAACGACATCAACAACAACAGCAACAACAACTACAACAAATGATAATGATAATATTCTTGGTTGGGATAAAGATGTACCTGAATCAAAAGAACGTTGGCTTAAAAGTTTACCGTATAAAAGTCATTTAGAACCTGTATTAGATTTAGCATGGTCAAGAGATGATCAATTACTTGTTAGTGGTTCTGTTGACAAAAAAGTTATTGTTGTAAGTTTTATATATATAAGATAATTAGAAATTATTTTATTTTTTTCTCTAGTGGAATGTTAGTAAACGTGAAAAAATCTCTATTTTGGATGATCCAAAAGGTTTTGTTCAAGGTGTTGCTATTCATCCATGGCGTAAACATATTGCAGCAATGAGTACGGATCGTTCATTACGTATTTATGCAATGAAAGCTGAAACTGGTTTAATATCTCGATGTTTATATAATATACGTAAAATAAAACCAGCAAATATCAAACAAGAAAATGGTGCATTAATGTTTATTGATGAAACATCTTTAACATTTTTTCGACGTTGTGCTTATTTACCTGATGGTAGTCAATTAATTGTTTCAGGTGGATGTTTAGATAAAGCATTTTTGGATGCATACAATAATGAAGAAAATATTGAACAACCAAAAGAAGAAATAAATACTCAAAAAAATGATATAGATGATCCTGATATACAAATTATACAAGATAATGGAGTAAATGAAGAAAAAGCTAGTGCAGCACCATGTATAATATTTATATATATATTTATTTTTCTTATCTATCTTTTTTTTAATAGTACCTGCCAAATTAATTGATATCAATTGTGCTTACGTATTCTCAACATCTGGTCCAAAATTTGATCGACCCTTATCAATATTACCCATTATGAATGATCAAGAGGTTATAGCTATTTCTGTATGTCCTTCATTATTTCCATCAACATCAACTGTTGCACCATATCGAATGCTTTTTGCATTGATTACAAAGACATCTCTATTCTTTTATGATCAGTTATCCTTAGAACCATTTGCGTATGCACGTCGTATTCATCTCCTATCACTAACAGATGGTTGTTGGTCACATGATGGTCATCTTTTTGTTGCATCGTCTGAAGATGGTTATTTAACATTTGTTACATTTACTGATCAATGTCTTGGTGGTCCTTGTTTACCTGATTCAGATAAAATCTTAGATGATATGATGAATAATGCATTGACGCCACCAGCAACAACAACGCTCGCAACAGTAACAGGAACAACTACGACAACAACAATGACGACAGCGGTATCACAAAAGAAAAAATGATTTAATTTGAATACTATATATTTTTTTTTGTTCTATTCTTTCTTGTATAAATATTATGATGATGACGATGTTGATTATTATTAGTTCTAATAAAAACGCTGTATATATATATAGACTTAATATGCTACATTTGAAAAAGGAAAGAAAAATATTGTTCAATATGCAATGACGACAGAAAGATAACTGAAAATAGTAGGTACACGTGTATATATATATATATATATTATTTAGATATTATTTATTGTATTGGTTTATAAAGGAAAATGAAAATGCATAAGAATAGAGTATACATAACTATTTTCTTTGTTGTCTTTTTGTTTCTCTCTTTATCGTTTGTACGGTTGATAGTGTCTATGTATTTGGCTCAAGCACATACAATACAATCCGTCGCCCACTTTTCTCTCTGTTTCTTGTTCTTCGTTTTTTTTCTTCTCCTTTACAACTGATGATTTTTTGATTATGATGAACCGACGCTAAGCAAGCAAGCTACGTGCTTACTCTGCTGTTCAAATATATGTGCGTTGGTGTTTACCCTGCTCATAGCTCGCCTCATCTTGGAGGTCATTCAACCCACTCTCGTTTATATGTAGTCATTTTGCTTTTCTTTTTGAGATTAACGATCAAATAACGTTGAATATGAATTTTATCAAACGTCCTTTTCATCATACTAATTCAGCGTCAACTAATTCAACACCATCCAATATACGAGATCCACATACGGTGCCATCACCATCTCCATCATCTGCAGATAAAACAACAACATCATCATTAACTGGTTCTGTACGTTTTAATGATTTAATATCTGCTCAACCAAAATTTAATGAACGTGAAAAATATCTTACTGCGTAAGTATTTAATTAAAAGATTAATTTTTGTTTTTTTTGATTAAAAGAATATTACATATTAGAAAATATCCTCAACAACAAATGCAATTAATACGTAAACGATTAAAAGTCGAATTTTGGGTTGATGATCAATTACGATCACTATATGATATTAAAGTAAAAATCAAAAACAATTATTCGATTTTATAAATACAAAAATTTCTTTATCATAGGATGATAGTTCACAAGAAGATCATGATCATTGTCCAGGAGATTTGATTGATTCTCTTTTAGATATTGATAATGAATCACAACGACGTACATTTCTTCTAGTAAGAATATATAAATCTTTTTCTTTTTTTCATCAATTATTATTATAGGAGAAATTAAGAAATACGAAACAATCTCGATCGAAAACAATGGTAAATATTCTATCAATCAATGATTGTTTTTTATTTTCTTAATCTTTTTTTTTCTAGGAATTTATTGATGAACTGCTACATCGTGTGAAAATGTTGTAATTAGATAAGCTTGCTTTTTTCATTGTTTTGTTGTTCAATTAGTTTCTTTTTTTTCAAAACCAAAAAAAAATCACAAATATAATAACGGAAAAGAGAATATAAATCAAAGAATTATAAAAACAAAATATATATATATATATAAAATTAATAATGAGATTTAAGTCGTTTTTTCGGATAGTATTTAGAATTTTTTGAAAGAGAAGATAATTTCGATTCAGTTATTTCACCTTCTTCCTCCGATGATGAACTAGACTCAGATTGAAGTTCAGTCAAAATATATTTCTGTAATTTTTTATAAGATTGTTTTTGATTTTGAAGAAATTTTTCAATTTCATAAGTAATTTCATCGAAAGTCTTTCGAATAATTAGATCATATTCACGTTCATAAACTTTTAATTGTTGTTGACTAAAAATAGAAATAAAGAATTTTTTTAAATATTTCAAAGAAATATATTGCGAATAATACGTGTTAACATGTCAATCGAACTGAATAATACTGACTAGTAGCACTTTTTTTCTAATATGTTATCGCTATTCAGGGTAAAATAAACACATGAGTAGTTTTTAGCTTGCTTCGTTTTGTTTGTCTCATATCATTGAGCTGTCAGTTTTAACACATGTAGATATATACAAGGATGTCTGAAAAGTTATATTTATCAAAAGAATCGAATATATGTTTGTGATAAATCGATCAAGTCATTTGTTATTTTATTGCTGATCAGATTTATTTTCAGTTCGAATAACAAATTTTTCAAATGTGAATACAAAGAATTTCATCTACGGAAATATTCTTGTATGACTATTGTAAATTATTTTCTAAAACTCATAGGACTTTACCTGCATGTTTGTAATGATTCATTATTTGCTGGTTGGGTGTCGGTTGGTATTAATAATAATTCATTTTGAGATTGCGATGAACTAAAATTTGAAATTCTTTTTTTCAAAATATAAAAAAAAGTCTAATTTAACCTATTCAATAATCGATCAGAAGTAGGAGTTGATGTTCGAAGTTCTTCCTCGATCATATTTTGATGACTAGCTAATGATGTATATTGTGCAGTATCTACATTTGAATCTCTTCGTTGACGATGTGAATATCTTGGTGTCAATACTTCTGTACATTCTCTTTTATTAACTGGTAGAGATTCAATTTTTGGTGCAACTTGTGATGGTCTTAATGGTTGTTTAACAGCAAGTGAAGTTCGACCAGCAAAATGAGTTTGATTCGATGCAAATACAGATCGAACTGAATTAATTGTTTCAAACTCGACATAAACATATTCAACACCATTTCCCGATGATACACATGTACAATTTAATATTCGTCCATATCTTTTAAATGCTTTTTGAATAACATTTCGTTGAAGTATTGAATTTGTATGTGCAATACATATTTTTCTATCGGATGTTAAACGTGTTTCATCCGAAAAAACTGCATCATAAGGATGTACATCAAGACGAATTCTACATATAGTATGATCATATGTATTTGTTAAAATTGCACTCATATTTGTATTCGATGAAAATTTTATAAAACGATAATCAATTAACCATTCATCAACACCACGTGTACAATTATGATATAAACTTTCAATTTTACCAAATTGTTGAAAATATTCTTGTAATTGTTCATCTTTAATTGATTGAATATTTCCAACATAAATCGTATTTGACGATGAAGGAGATGAATTCATATCTATCTGAAACAAGATTATGTATATGTATATATATATATATAAATAAATCAAAAGAGAAAAGTTTATTTTTATGGGATCATTTTTTTCATATGTTCATAATTTTGACGTTTTTGTTTAATTAATTCTGATATTTCATTTTCAATAAAATCAAATTTTTGACGAATTTTTAAATTATATTCACGTTCTAAATGTATTAATATATTTGAATCATCCGTAGCAGTTCTATAAAATAAAACAAAAAATTTTCTATTAAAATAAAATTTTTTGTATACTCTTGTTCTTTTATTGTATGAAGATCAACATCCGTTGGTCTTAGTAAAGGTAAAATCTCTAAATTATGATCTCGTACACGATGATTTTTAATTTTTCCTTTTAATAATTTATTTCTTGATGCAGATAATTCAAATTCAATATAAACATATTTTTGTTCATCATCATTAGTTTCTGAAGTTGCTTGTTTTATTGTTCCAAATGTACGTAAATATTTTTTTATATCATTAAGGGATATATGACCTGGTAAATTTTCAATACAAATTTTTCGATCAACATATAAAGGAACAGCTGTATGAAGAATTTCATTAAATGGTCTTACATCAAGATTTATTCCATTATTAAGAATATGATTAGATGTAGAAAGAAATTTTAATGCTGATTGTACATTTAAAAAACGAACAAATGTAAAATCAACTAAATAAGTTTGTTCTGAAGATAATAAACGACGTGAACAATCAAGAATAAGACCAAATTTTGAACAATATTCAACTAAACATTCATTTGATATTGTACGTGTATTACCAATATACACAGTCGATGGTTCTGATTCATTGTTGTTCATAATTATGAATCTAAAGAAATTTTGTTTAATAAATCTTTTCTTATTATTGAAATAAATAATATTTAATGAAAATATAAAATTGGGAATATGTGAACATCTGATCGTCAAGGTGTCTATGTATGGATGGATATTATCAGGATGATATGTGTACACACAACAGATGTCTCTCATAAACAACGTAATAACTCATGTAAAACATAAACATAATAAATATTGAATCTTCTGCAGAGAAATTGACTATCAGAGTTATTGAATAAGTTTAAGTTAGAAAATATTTTCCAGCAAAGGAGATCGTATGATGTATAACAGAATAAATATATTATTATTATCATGTAGTTTAGGAATTCACTGTTTTCTTTGTTCTTATTGATTGTACAAGCACGAGAAAATCTATTTCGGAAGTAAAACTATTTTGTATTCAAAATTAGTACTATTAAATAATTTTCAAATCTTTCTTATTGAAAAAAATGGTGCTAGATATCTTTGTAGAAAATACAGTATAGTGCATTTTTCATAAGAGCACACTTATCAATCTTTGTTATAGTTGGAGAAATAGAACAACTATAATTTATAATCTTGTTAGTAACATGTATATAGATAGGTTGTTGAACTTTCATAAGAACATGAATGTAGATGTATCAATATATTAGCTTGACACTTTTTGAAAAGATGATATAATTATTAACTACAATGTCAAATTGTATCTCAAGAGTTTTATATAATTAATTGTTCTATTACGAACAATAGAAAATTTTCTGATGATCAATTTTTAGGTTGTTTCCTTATTATGCTATTATTATAAACGAGAAAGAATCATACTATATATGTATTGTCCTATTCTCATTTAAGTTCCATTCTTTCTTCTTCGAACGATGATGTAACTATTTGTATTTGGGCGTTGTTAATCGATTACTTTGATTTTTTTTTGTATCTTCTTCACTTGTCGGATTTTATTCAGCTTTCATAAAAAATATTTACAAATAGATATTTCATAAGATAATATTCAGTACTAATTTATGCATTCGATTCTTTATGTGTGTGCTCTAGAAAAGTATCAGATAATGAATATGATTTTCTTTCATTCTACTTTTTTCTCATGGAAGAACTATTACTATCTTTTATCAATTCTATTTCATATAAGATACGATAATAAATAAATAACACAATAACATTTCATGACAGATATTCCTAATCTGTCAAAATCAATAATATAATGATCTATAGTATATTCAATGATTCTTTTCATTTCCTTCTTGATTAAAAAAAGTCAAACAATGAATACTTCTATTATTCATATGTACTATGTAAACTTTTCATTTATAATCATGTCAATTCTTCTTCTTTTGTATCAAGGCTAATAAGACTAATTGATGTCGTTCTAACCTTATTCGTGGTTAATTAATTTGATCAGGCGCCAAGTTTTCTAGTCAACTAAAATAAGAGAGACAGAAATATATATATATATATAGTTTTGTTTTAGATTGCTTTGTACTCATTCATTCTCATATAATGTCTTCAATAATTCATGCTGTTGGTCATGCTCTTACTGGACATGGTGATAATTCCGATAAGAAATCAAATGTTCATACAGTTGTATGTGATGATGTAAAAGTAAAATCGATTGTAAATAGTCAAACACAATCGAACATCTCAAACGGACATTCACAAAATAAAATTAATGAATTAATGGCTAAATTAGGTAAAATTTATTTAAAAAAAATTTTTTCTCCCGAATTCTTTATAGGTTCAACACATACACAAATTGATGAGTATTCTCAACGTCGTAATGATGAAATATCTGAAGCTGTTAAAACTAGTATTGATAAAATTGTTCAGGAAACATTAATTCAACAACAACAATTACTTAACGATGCTCAAAAACAATCAACTGAAATTGAAAATAATTATAAAGAAAAATTAATGTTGTAAGTTTTTAAAAACAAAATTCAAATAAATAATATTTTCTTTTACAAAGATTTATATCTCAACTTGATGAAGATAAAGCAGCAGTATTAGCACAACTTGAAAAAGATTTAAATCTTCGGCAAGAACAAATTCTTGATACAGCTAGAAAACGTATCGATGGATTAAATGAAGAAGCGAATCGATTAAAAATAGTAGAAAATCTTTTCTTTTTTCTATTGTATAATATTTTTTATTAGAATGTACTTAAAGAGGCTCAAGCTAGAGAAAATTCTAAAATTGAAGCAATTACAGACAAAGTTGCTCAAGTAATTTATTGAAATTTTAATCAAAAATTTATTAGTTTACCGTTTTTTTCTAGCTTGGTGCTGAAGATGCAAGTCGTCGTTTAAAAACAACAACAACAACGGTTATTACAACAAAAGCACATGCAGAAAGTCATACAACACATGATGCGAAATCATCTTCGAAACATCATTGAATGAAAAATTAAACTATATATATGTTATGTAATAATATTTAGATTGTATTTTCTTTTTCGTTATTGTGGAATGTTATGTTAGTTATTCAATTATTTATATTTTAATTGAATGAATAGAAATGAGATTTATTATTTATACATAAATGATAGAATAAAAATTCCTAATGAATATAAAAACAGTTAATAATTATATTGCCATTATGTATTTTTTGATAAGACAAAAAAACATTGATAATGTTTCGAGGAATTATTTTATCGTAGTTGTTTCATAATATAAAATATTACCGATGTGAATAAAGCTCAGTGATAGGATTTTTAAATTGTATATATATTTTTTCACATGTTTAAAAAAAATCTTGAGTGATTCAAAATAAAGCAGAGAAAATATTTATTTCGTACATATTAACAAGCAAAGTTCTTCTATAAATTACATTCAATAACTGAGTAACAAAATATAGAACAAAAATTAAGTTTAACCTGCTTTCATACATATTGGAAAACACACTCTGAATATCGATATCATTCTTATTTTTAGAACGCAAAGATTAAACCTTAAAAATAATTTTAATATAAAATATAACACACTTTGTTGTGTGAGAATGAAACATATGTAGTTATTTTTTCTTTTAAAATCTTCTAATTGAATTTTCGTTTATCATCGTTGTCACTATTTATGGGTATACAGATGAAAAAATTCTCACATGTAGGTGTTAAAACAGCGACCTATAAAACCAATTTTATTTTCATTGATTCTTTATCGAGTATTTTCATATTCACATCTTCACTTAATCAATTCAAGCTACTTACAATGAAAGCTGCTATTGCTCTTATCTTCTTCGCCTGTGTTGCTGGCTCAATGGCTGCCGATGCTCGTGGTGAATTCATGAACCAACTTACTGCAACAGGTCAACAATTCATTCAAGCTGCTTTGACCTCACTCCAAGGATCCATGAGTGCTTTTCTTCAACAAATGCTTGGTGGAGCCAACCAACTTATTGGTACACTTGGTGGACGAGACAACTTCTTTGATAGTATCTTAGCCACTTTACAAGGAATGGTTGGTCAAATGGTTCCACAACTTATGGGTCAACTTATGGGCTCTCTTACATCACTCATTGGTTTGTATTTCTTTTTTTTCTCAACTAATATCTATCATCTTTTCAATGAATAGGTGGATCCCGAGGAGCTTTCGATGGTGTTTCAGAAATCTTTAATAGCTTCCTTGCTAGCATCCAAGAATCACTCGCTGGTTTAGGTAACCACTTTCTTAACCAAGGTTTATCCGCTGTTCTTGGTGGACTTGCTGGTGGTCGAGCAAATATGTTCAGTGATATGTTAGCTTGTAAGTAGATCTATAGATGTGTGTGCGTCTGTTTGTACATTAATGTTAATATTCTCTCTCTCTCTCTCTCTATTGTAGCAATTTCATCAACCTTCACTACTATGATGGGTCAAGCTAGCACTGCTGTCTCAGGTGTCGTCGCTGGTTTACAAGGTGCTGCTACTGGTATCCTTGCCACTGCTCAACCACACTGGGAAGATCTTCAACAACAACTTCTTGGT